TGTTATTGTGCTGTCGCTATCCAGAATTCATTATTGAATTGTTGTTGTCCAGGTTTGGCTGCCTAGAATTCACCTATGCACAGGTGTGTACTTTTGCACAGCCATGTGCATTGTCTAGGTTTGGCTGCCCAAAATTCATTTGTGCACAGCTGTGCATTTCTACACAGCCGTGTGTATGCCGCTGCCCAAACTCCAGCTGGGCACTTCGTTCTCATCCATTCCTTGTTGAATAAAGGACAAAACCTTTGAGACACACCGGTATTTTAGTCTCTCTTTTTGGCTATCTTTCCACCTCTTTGGCCTGAGCTAAAACCTCACGAACTAGGCTCGCATCATCCTCACTAATTGGACTCGTATTTTCTCCCTCATCTCGAGTATCAACATTACGAGTTGCTTCAAGTTCCTCAATTATCTCGTCATCACAACTGAAATCATCATACAACCCATACACATAATCAGAAACATTACGAGTATTAGATTTAAGCCATTTATCACCTTGAGCAAATAGAAAAATATCTTCATGAAAAGGTATATCCCTTGAGTAGAAAAACTCATTTTTCTCCAAATCATAAAGTCGCCAACCCTTTTTGCCATGTGGATGGCCTGCAAATACACATTTCCTACTTCTTGAACCAAACTTATCCTTTTGTCTAGGATTATTGTGTGCATAACATAGACATCCAAACACCTTGACATGATCATACATAGGTTTCTTGTCAAGTAAAATTTTATAAGGTGATTTCTTATCAAGTTTAACAGTGGGTGTGCGGTTAATAAGATAAACTGCGGTTAAAATACATTCTTCCCAAAACTTAATAGGTAAAGAAGCTTGAAAACGAAGTGCTCTAGCTACTTCAAGAATATTCCTATGTTTTCGTTCAACTCATACATTCTGTTGAGGTGTATTTGTACAACTAGTTTCATGCACTACACCATTTTCCGCATAAAAAGCTCACATAGGCTCCTCAAATTCAAGGTCATTATCACTTCGAATACGCTTCACAAATTTATCAAATTGTGGCTTGACAAATTTACAAAATAGCATAAGAAACTTTTTAGCTTCACTCTTACAAATATACACAAACTCCTCGACTATAATCATCAACCAAAATAAGAAAATAATATGCACCACAAGAAGCAGGTTTCGAATACGGTCCCCATAAATCACAATGAACTAATTCAAAACAAGAAGTGTCATTACTCTTACTTAAAGGAAAAGGAGAGCGTGCTTGTTTTGCCCTATAGCGAACATCACAAATAAGCTTATTCATATAATCGAATGACCAATATCCGAGATGAAAGATAGATATTGAATATTCTGATGTCCCAGTCGCCGATGCTAAACTAAGTGTGAGTTGTCTCCCTTTACTTTCAATGCTGAATGTGTCTGTATAGGTCCTTGAGGTCCGGTCATGTATTATACAAAGCTCATTAGTAAACGTTATTTGACAATTTTACATAGAAATCAACTGAGAAATTGATATCAAATTGCAAGTTAAATACGACACATATAGAACATTAGTTAACACCATTCCTGGACTTAAAACAATACGACCAACCATCGTCGTCATCGTTGTCACCCTATTAGGCAAATAAACGGGCATCGGGATCATATTCTTGAGATCAATCAAAAACTCCTTCTTACCAGTCATGTGATTCGAAGCCCCACTATCAAGTATCCAAGTAGGTGACTTAGAACCCTTACCAGAAAGCTTATTGGAGTTATCACCAGAGCGATCCAACATTCTTAACAGTTTCTAAAACTACTCCGTCGAAAAAACTTGAGTGTCGGCGCTGCTACCTTCTTTGGTTATTCCTCCTGCTGTCGCGACATAAGCCTGACCTCATCCTCTGAACTTGTCAACATGCTCACATTCTCTTTTGCCCTTGTACCAAGCCGGGTAGCCTTTAAGCTCGAAGCAATTCACGACGTTGTGCTCCAACTTGTGACAATGTGAACATTTCTTCTCCACGTCGCTTTGCTGTTTTGCCTAAGATTGTCCAGCTCCTCTTCCCTTAGACGCTGAGTTAACCACCATCACCATAACTTCTGGGCGTTCCATTTGTCCTTACACAGTCGATCGATGTCTTTCTTCTTTACAGATCATAGCATAAGTTTTATTGACAGGAGGCAAAGGTTCCATGTTGAGTATTTGAGATCGCACCATACCAAAAAGGGCGTCGTTGAGTCCCATGAGAAATTGATGTAGTTTCTCTTCTTCACGCTCACGAAGGAAGTCGTGCGCTGCTCCACAAGTACAACTCTGTACTTTCGAATAGCTACAGAGTTCATCCCACATGCTCTTCAATTGCGTGTAGTATGCCATCACGGTCGTCCCATTTTGCCTAGTTGAGGCAATCTGTCCTTTCAACTCATGGATTCAAGGTGCATTTCTAATTGAAAAACGATCACGTAGATCTTCCCAAATAGCTTTAGTTGTCTCCTCATAGGCTATGCTCAGCTGAATGGATTTCTCGATAGAGTTGAAAATCCAAGAAATCAGCATCGAGTTGCAAGAGGACCAACTACTCGCCTCCGGTGTATCCGGTACCGACTTCTCCAGTGTGTCATTGATAAAACCCAATTTGTTCTTCGCTCTAAGTGCGTCCGTTATTGCCTTCTCCCTCATATCATAGTTTTCTCCATTCAGAATGCACGTGGTGATCACCGCTCCCGGGTTATCTGAAGGATGCAAAAAAAATGGAGAAGACATATCCAATACTTTTTTGTTGGCTGCGTTTCTCTCCGTCATGATTTTGGTAAAGGAAAAAAAATGGTGTTTGATGGCGATGCAATTGGGTTTAAGGAGAAGGAAGGGCGGCAACTATGGGTAGGGTAAATGACTTCTCTCAAAAATCACTAACCTGCTTTGATACCATATAAAAACAGAGAAAGAATTTCTACATTACCGAAAAATCTGAGGATTACAACTTATACTTTCTAATAACAAGATGACAACTTATCTTAACAGCATATAACTTCTATCTATAATTAACCAAATAACTAAAGTATCACTTACTGATAATATCGTATCATCAACAAAGGTAAATAAATGTATATGGCACTGGCCTGTACAGTGCTTCTATGTCTACCACTAGCTAGTCCTAGAAATTTGAATGGATGATGTTGAGTTAATGTGTCTAATTATGTGAGATTGCAACGGTAATTTAAATGGCGACTGTACATTAAATTGTTTCTTTTGCATTCTTGGGCTGCTGCCCGTTGATTTTAATTTTCTAATGTCTAATTTTTGGAGAACTAAATGGAGAAAGAATTATGCATTACCCAAAAAACAGTTAACGTTTTCCGGAGACCCATGTCCAATAATTAACTCTCAAAATTTTGGACTTCGATAGATGACTCAGTTAGGTATAAAACAAAGTTTTCTATTCAAAAAGAATCGTCCATAAGTAGATCGAATTGGCAATCAAATTCGTAAATATTGGTTTTGATGGATTATGAATATAGTAGTGTCATCTATCGTTGTATACTTTGTGCGTTTTCGTTTCTAGAAAGTTTAGTAGCGCGTACCCCTTGTTCTTTGTGTATAATAAGTGTACGTTATTCTGTATTTTGATCCTTTGTCGATACCCATAATAATATCTGCACAGTGTACTTGGATAACAGCGAGTAGGTGTTGCAAAAATTTTCTAAAAATGAAAGGTAGATGAATGCACTTCTATATTCTTAATGGGATGCAAGTATTTCCTCAACCGCTGGAGTGTTTAGACCACCCTAGGATTTGTTAAATCAACTACAATGAAGATTATCAAACATACTGTGATTTATGAGATAGCAAATTAATCAATAAGTATACTTAAAATGTAGATGAGAAAACTCCTGACAAGTCGTAGATCAATATTTCTCATATGGAAAGAAGAGTAAGTTGAGACATTTGATATCAAGATGGATGGGAAGCCTTCCTTCAGCATGCAATGAATCCAAAAAAGTTAGGGAGCAGACTATTGCATTGTAAGTGCAGAATGATGTTGTTAGTGGATAGAATCTTGATACAATTAGAATTGTGGGGATTTGGTAAGGGTTACAAATACTGGAATTTTCCCGGGGAAGGTAGTATTAAAGATATTGAATGGACAATTTATAATTAGGGTGGCGCTACAGTCACACCCCCAACCACACTCCTCTCTCGTTACGGTGGGGCCCACATGAGAATTTTTTTTAAATTCTCATGTGGGCCCCATTGCACTGTACCGAAAGAGGAGTGTGGTTGGGGGGTGTGCCTCTAGCATTTTTCTTATAATTAACCCCGCAATGACAAGATGAGAGACTGTTAGTGATTGACGTCATATGTCAAATCATAGAGTTTTGATCTCCTGACTTGAATCTAACATGGCATGCTTGATTATTCTAGTTCTTGTGAGAGAGCTCGGGGGTGCACAAACATGTCACGAGTCGTGAGTCACTACCTCCTCTTTGGCGCAGATTGTTCATCCCAGCTGAGATTATCTTCTTTGCTGTTCGCACGATGGCCTTTGAAGCTAGCGACTCTCCAATCCATTGTTGGATTGGGTGGCGGACATGTATATACGTCTAAATATGTGTATACATTGAGAATTAATGAAACACATCATTCCCACGTTCACGTTCATTTTTCCTTCAGGCGTACTCTCACAGGGGGCAACGACAATACAATTAGACTTTTGTTTTACTCCTAATTTTTAAATGATATTTTGGGAGATAAATACTAGGAATTAATTTATAATTTTTATAGCAATAATTTTTATTTTTTGAGCTCTATAAATAGAGATTAGTCTTGTGTAATTTGGACACAAAAAAAAATCTGAGTTTTCAACACCTTATTCTCCTTCTCTTTGCTTTTGCTTCTATATTCTTCAAACTTTTTCAAATAGATCCTTCACAAAATTATCCTAATTTCTCCTACAACTTTCCTAACCAGCCTCAAAATACCAACCCTCAAAATCCAAATGTGCAAGCCCCGGAAAATACTCAAAATGCTGGTATGCAACCCAATTTTCAAATGCCGTATATGATGCCACCAAATTTTGGCATGCAATACCCTTATCTTCCTTACGGTTATCATCCAGCTGCGGGAAGCAGCTATGTTCCATCCCATATGAATTTTCCTACCACGGAGTCGATTGAGCCACCGACACCCCGGTTCAGTAGCGGATCTATAGAAATCCCGGATTTTTCCACCCAGATCTCTTTGGAAAATGTTGGTGGGGATACTCATAGTTTTCTACCTCCAACCCAACAACCAACAAAGAGATCAAGTTACGATAGTTGGAGCACAGAAGACAACATAATTCTGCTAACTGCTTATTTTCACGCTAGTAATGATAGTGAGCTGGGGAACAACCAAAAAGGTGAAACTTTCTGGGGTAAAATTACACATTATGTGAATGAGAATGGCAAGAGTGGAAAAGAGAGGACCATAGCTTGGTGCCAGAGTCATTACAAAGACATCAACAGAAAAATTTCCAGTTTCATTGGCTGTTATAGTACTGCATGTAGGGAGAAGCAAAGTGGTTGGTCTGATGAAAACTACATATCCAAAGGCAGGGAGTTGTACTTTGAGAAAATGGGTACATCGTTTAATTTGGTGGATGAGTGGAAGGTTGTTCGCAATCAACCAAAATATATGCCAGGAGTAGCAGTATCGGGTAGTAGCGGTTCGAAAAGAAAGAGTAGTAGTGAAGATGTTGAATCCTCCGTTCCTACCCTCGTACGTCCTGAGGGTAGGGACACGACAAAGAAGAAAGCTAAAGCTTCGTCCAGTAAACCAAGGAAATCGAAGCTCGAACTTCAGGATGAGTTATCCAATATAGTCACCTCTCGTGAAAAGGCGGAAGCGAATAGAGCAAGTACTGTTGAAGCTATGAATGTCCTAGCTCGTGCCAAGAATATGGAGACGTGGAGATTTTTGAAAAACAAACCAGATCGTGACGATGAAGATGAAGAAGCATATCAGTTGTTGAGGAAAGAACTGTTTGGCAAATGAAGAAGTTGTTGTTTGTCTGTTAGTTTGTTTATGTGTTTTTAAGTGTTTTTTTAAGTGTTTTGTGTGTTGAAATTGGAGTGTTGAATAAAATCGTTGTTTTTTATTTGAATAAATCCAATTGAAATGACTACTCCCTCTCCAATTGAATTGACAAGTCTCTGCAATTAAAGTTAAAAAATATATGAATTGACAACTCTCTGGTATGAATTGACAACTCCCTGCAATTAAAGACGAAGGGTTGAATTGACCACTCTATGCAATTAAAGATAAGGCATGAATTGACAACTCTCTGTAATTAAAGACAAAGGGTTGAATTGACAAGTCTCTGCAATTAAAGACAATGCATGAATTGACAACTCTCTGCAATTAAAGACAAAGAATTCATGCCATACGCCACATGTCGTTGCAATTGCATGTTTTTGAACAAAGGTTTTCATTATAAATGCTGACCAAATGCACAACTTGGAGTATACCTATCAACATTTTTTCTACATACCCTCCAATGGATCCAAACCTAAATGAATTCAATCTCGAATACTTCCAACAAGAATGGGAGTTAGAAGATAAAATGTTTGATAGGCAACAAGAACTGCTTGAAGAGTTGCTTAGGAGAGAAGAACAACCGCGCAAGAGAAAGTCCATATATAGAGATCATCAAGCAGCGCATGAGAGACTCATGGCCGACTACTTTGCCGAATCATGCACATACACTGATGCCTAATTTCGACGAAGGTATCGAATGAATAGGCCTCTCTTTCTACGAATTGTGGATTCTATGTCAAATTTTGACGTTTACTTCACACAACGTCGTAATAATGCGGGCAAGCTTGGTTTAACCCCTATCCAAAAGTGTACTGCTGCCCTACGTATGCTCGCATATGGAGTAGCAGCTGATGCTTGTGATGAGTACGTGAAGATAGAAGAATCTACTGCGGTTGAGTGTACTCAGAGGTTTTGCGAAGGGGTAATAGCCTTGTTTCAAGATGAATACGGTTGAGTGTACTCAGAGGTTTTGCGAAGGGGTAATAGCCTTGTTTCAAGATGAATACTTAAGACGACCCAATGTGCAAGACTTTTGCGAAGGGGTAATAGCCTTGTTTCAAGATGAATACTTAAGACGACCCAATGTGCAAGACTTGCAGAAGTTAATCCAAGTTGGACAAGAGCGTAGTTTCCCAGGGATGATTGGAAGTATCGATTGCATGCATTAGCAGTGGAAAAATTGTCCAAAGGCTTGGCAAGGGCAGTTTACTAGTGGACACAAGGGCACACCAACAGTTATTCTCGAGGCAGTTGCGTCATATGATTTGTGGATATGGCATTGAGGGGAAGTTGTATTTTGTTTATTTTGTGGACATGTGTATCTGTCTAAATACGTGTAGCTATCCCCAATCTAGGAGCTGACCACGATAGGGAGTGAGTTTGTTTTGTGTATGTATGGTATTTTGTAGATGGATTTGTTCTTTACACATTTGTGGACTCGTGGACTTTATTGTTAGACATATATGATTGTGTGGAGTTGGCTTGTAGACTTTTTTTTGAAGCAGAAAAAACAGGGTGAGATAGCCCGTTCAAATATATATTGATATAGAAAAAGAGTCTAGAATTTACAAAACAAATAACTGACTAGACAACAAAAAGGTGAGGATAGGAACCGAAAAGATGTTATCGGAGGGGAGTGGACCTTAGTCGTCACCCTCCACATAACAGCTGCAGAGCTTCCTAACCTACCATAGATCACAAAAAACGATAAAAGCTACAAAGGGAGGCTGCCAATAGAAACCAACATAAAGCAGCCATCACTCAGCAAACCTACCACTACACTATAAACAAAAAAAACAGTGTATCTCGCGAAGTTTATAGAAAATTACAAAACTACTGAATATTTGCCCACAGAGACTTGGAACTAAGAGATTGAAGCTGGAGGAGGAGGAAACTGCCAGAAGCTAATCTCCTTGAGCAAAATTTTCCCAGAGAGCTTCACTTCATCCATTAGCTTTAGCTGTGTCCTGCAAACCCAATTCGAGACGCTGAGATTTTCTGTTACTTGAAGCACTTGTCCAGAATAATATGAAATGAGAAGTATTAGAGGCAATAGATAGAGGAGTAACAGGAGAATTGTTGAATATGAGGTTGTTTTGACTACTCCAAATGCACCAACAAAGACATGGTAATAAGACCCTCCATAACTTCCTTTGATTAGGGTTATCCAGGAATAAATCATTGTCTAATATCATTCCAAATACCTCCTTAGGCCAATTGCGGGGGTTAGAGGATGGGAAGAGGATGGACCATACCTCAGTTGAGAATGAGCATGAAAATAATAGATGATCGTGGGTTTCCCTCTCCTGGTTGCAAAATGGACAAGAAGGATCACCTCCCCAACCCTTATTGATCAAGTTATCTTTGGTTTGGAGTTTCTTCTTGCTCAGAATCCAAAGGAAAATTTTAGCTTTTAATGGCACAGGGGAATACCGGATAAAGTTATTAAGAGGGTAGACAATGCCTCCATTATTGAGAAGAGAGTAAAAGAATTTCACGGTGAAGGTGTTTGATGCGTTTACAGGCCATTGAACAGAGTCGTGCACGTTTGGAGAGTTCGTGAATTGAACAATATGCTGAAGGAGGTTAGATTTGTCTCTTCTGTCTACTTTTGTTATACCTCTTCTGAGAATAGGATTCCATCTCCAAATATTATGATGCAGAACACCCTGGGAGGAAACAGAACTAGCGGGAGAGAAAGCCAGACTAAAAGCCTTAGGAAAAATATTGCATAAAGAGTTGTCTCCAGACCATTTATCAGTCCAAAATTTGCAGGTCTTGCCTGAACCGATAACCCATCTAACAAAGTTAAAAAAAAAGGTTGATGAATAGATTGTAAATCATGAATGAACCTGGAAGCATACCTCTTTGGGGGGTTGGATATAGGATTAGAATCATCTGAAGAGTAGATAGAGAAGATCACTTTACTGATAAGGCTCTCTCTATCTAAATTTTTCCAAATCCACTTAGAGAGGAAAGCTTGATTGAAATTGTTCATGTCAATAATCCCTAAGCCACCTGCACGTTTGTCCTTACAAACATTTTCCCACTTGACCAGGATTTTACTTCTACAGTACTGAGGGTTTCCTCCCTAAAGAAAATTTCTCCTGATTTGATCGATGGCTTTGATGACCCAACAAGGAAGTTTGAAGAAGGACATATAATATAATGGGATGGATGAAAGAACAGAATTTATAAGAGTGAGCCTACCTTCAATAGATAAGGATCTATTTTTCCATAGAGCAAGTTGTAGGCTGTCTAAAAATCACAATAGATAGCTGATCCCCATCAAACACCGATGATGGAAGTTACAATCTGACGACTTCCAGAAGGCTATAATTTGAAGACTTTCACGTGGATCGATGAAGGTTACAATCTGACGACCTTCACAACAACTGATGGAAGCTCTAATCAAACAGCCTTCATAATCAACATCGGGAGTTACAATCTGACGACTCTCATATATCAGAGAGCTAAAGTAAAGATTACAAAATGACGATCTTTGCAACGCTTCGATAGAAAGAGACTACAAATCGACAGTCTCTTCAAATCAAACTGTGGAAGTCCTCCCCGCACACCAGCATCAAGACGCATCACGTTCATAGCCACGAACGCAGCTCAACGCAGCTCCAACCGCTGCTCAACGCAGCTCCAAGCGCAGCTCAAACGCAACTCTAAAAGCTGCAAACGCAGCTCCAAAAGCTGCAAACGCAGCTCAGATTCGGCCGCCAACGTAGCTCATGTTCGGCCGCAAACGCAGCTCCAAAAGCTGCAAACGCAGTTCATGTTCGGCCACGAACGTAGTCTCCGAAAGCTATCAACGCAGCTTTCACCTGCCGCCAAACGCAGCTCCCAAGCTGTCAAACGCAGCTTTCAACAAGATGCCAACGCAGCTTCCAAATTGATGCGTCTGAGTTTCCAAACACTGCGTTTGAACACAGAATTCACATCAGAACATGGATTTTGCGTTTGACTCGTTCAAACACACAGAATTCACATCAGAACATGGATTTTGCGTTTGACTCGTTCAAACACGAGCTGAACGGTTTTAAAACCGTTTCCCACGATCTGAGGGGATCACAACTCCACTCAGGAGTGATTTAAGGGGCGGTTACATCTCATTAGCCCCACTAAGGAGCAAATTAAGGAGGTGGTTACACCCCTTAATCCCCTATAAATAACTGAAAATCAATCCAGTTCAGGGGTTCGGTCGGTTGGAACTTCTTGGCAGCGAAAAGAGGATCCTTCATCCTTCGGTTGGAGCTTTGGAGATCGACAACAAGATCTTCTTCATCCTTAGCTTATAACCGAATTTCGGTTAAATCAACTCTTTCATAGAGTTTTAAACTCGTTCAGAGTTCTCCACAACGTCAAATCGTGAGGAGAAGACCACGTTCCAGTGAAACAAGACATCAGATCGTCAACGGGGAGCAAATTCGACGCAAACATTCGAAGGAGGCACTCCATCGCCACCGTGAAGAACCCAGAATTAGACAAATGGGAGAATTCAGATCATTCTCTTCTCTTTTGTAATCAGGAAATCCAATTGTAACTGAGATTAAAGGAATACAAATCAATTTTCCTTCATTTTTTTTACTGCAAATTTTCCACAAACAAAAGATGGCGACTCTGCTGGGGATGATGCTTCTCTGACGAAGAAGTGGTGGCGCAATCCGATGTTCATCTCAATGAAACAACCGTCGAAACTCTCGTGGTAGAGTTTGATCAAGCCAAGTTTTAGGAGGCCCTCTCCTCCGGATCCCTTAGCCCCAAGGCTATGCGCAAGATCCACAAAGTCTCCAAAGAGACTAAAGCTCCAATTGTTGCTCCTATGCCGAAGGAAGCCTTCTCCTTCAACCAAGAATGCTCGAACAGCCCCTCCTCCGAAGGAGTGGGCTCAGCTTCGGCCAAACTCGTCCACCGAGTTGAAGGTGTTGCTGCCAAGGCCTTGAAGCAGG